TAGAGGAATTGGGGGAGAGTTGTTTGGGTATTTATTGTTTATTGTTTGATTTAAGTGAGATTTTGCTAGGGTTAGCTTATTTGCTGAAATTGTAGTGTTTTTAGGGTACTTTGGGCTCTAGCGGCATCTACAAATTTAGGAGAGCCGAATTTTCCTCTCCAATTGAAGATCTAACTGTATCTTATCATTTCATTCATATATAATCCAATAAAAAAAGTGTTCTTGAGTGTTATTCTTCTTCGTTTACTTGTTACCGATTTATGTTTTGTTGAAATTGTAAATTCAGTCAAAGAATTTCACAAGTTCCGCAACCACTTCCTATCATTATAACAAGTTCATGTCATGAACTTCATCATCAAAATTGATATCAACGAAGCTCAACTAGCTAATGATTAAATTTAATTCATTAATGTGTTCTACTGTAGAAGCTCATTGTGTCATCCAAAGATTGAATGACGGTCATTAAATATACCTTAATCACCGTTGAAAACTTCTCGCATATCTGATTGACCTTTTCATCATTTCAATTAAATTCATCTAATGCATTCCGTTAAAGATAACACTCATCATTAGTTTACAAGCATCAACTGAGTTGTAACTCTTACCTTGTTTTCTCTTCTTCAACATATTGATTTAGGCGCATATAAGGTGATTCTTGTGGGAGTTCCGTAAGTGTAGTTACTATTTGAGCTTAAATATAAAGAAATTACCTCTTTTTCTTTGAAATGGTATTCATTTGGCCTCTCTTAACATACGAACTAGTAGTACTAGTTCTTTGTATCATATTTGTTTAGTGCATTTAAATGTGTGGATATGGTTGAATTTAGTTGCACTGATATGTATATTTTGTGATGATTATTAGAAGTGTGGATATATGTGATAGCTTGATTATTTGAAATCAATGAAAGTTATCCAATTTGATTATAATGTTGCTGAATTATTTAAAGCAATTTATAAGGAATGAAAAAGTGGTATCAGAGCCTAGGTATAATCTTCTAAGTATTACCCAAGTAACTGATTTTGGCATGATTATTTGATTGTGAATAATGGATAGACATATGATGCAACATACAAGTCGGCTTAAGTTGCCATCTCACAGCATGGCTAGAGGGCAACAAGACCTTGTTGTGAACCATTATGCAGGTGGCATGCGGCAACAAAGCATTGTCTTAACGGTAAGACCTAGTTGTGTAGATTAGAGTACAATTGTAGTAGTTGGGGTAAGTGCTCCTTTAAGTTGGTGGGGGACCATTGTAGTAGGTGTGTTGTAATAAAATCAATGTAGTCATGTAGGCAATTTGGCAGGAATGTAGAGAAAGATAGCCAAGCATCCCCCATCACAATCATATCTGGCTTGACCATCTCCAATTCCAATTGTTGATCATAAGATGAACGCTTTTTCAAAAGCTCATTTCCTCATTTCAAATGAACAACTGATTATTTCAAAGAAGAGATTTGACTGACCAAGATGGAAAATAAAATCTAGAGTATCAGCTGTCATTTCCATAGGAGAGGAATGCAACAATAGTAACATATGACTTTGATGATAATATCAAACATTGGTGCAAAAGTCAAAAGAGGACTAAATTCATTGACTATAAGCTCGTTGTCACTTGGGAGCATATCATGAAGGCTTTCTTATGCAAGTCCAATTGTGTAATATGTATATATATATATATATATATATAAAAGCATATTTGGTGTTCCATATAGGACTATATGTATGCAAATTGGTACTCGCTCACTTTGACACATTAATCCTTAACATTGATCTTTTCTTTTTTTGAAAATTATTATTGATCTATTTGTGATATATACTAGAGTCTAAAGGTAAGACTAGAAAGGGAGTTGAAAGTAAATTTGAATTATGGAGGTCAATCTCAGAGTCTAAAGATTTTCGTTTGAGTAGATCTAAAACCAAATATATAGAATATAGTTTTAGAAGTAATAGATTTAGTGGTGGGGTTCGTGACTTTAGACGATCAAGTCATTAATAAGAGTACACGTTTTAGATATTTGGGGTCTATTGTTCAGAGTGATGGTGAAATAGATGTGAATATTATTAGTATAATTTAAGTTGGATGGTTGACGCAGAGGAATGAATCGGGCTTATTGTGTGATAGAAAAGACACCCTCAAAACTTGAGGGAAAATTATATACGATGGTTTTGAGACATCCAATGCTTTATGGTGCAGAATGTTGGCCATTAAAAGAGAAGCATAATATTAAGTGTTGTAGAGATGAGGAGGCTCAAGTGGATGAGTGGCTTAACTCTTAGAGATCGGATAAAAATCGAGCATATACGTGAAAAGTTTGGAGTAATTCCAGTGGAAGATAAGATTAGAGAGAGTCACCTTTGATGGTTTGGTCACATAAAATGGCAGCCTTCTAATGACCCCGTTAACATAATAGATGTATTAGATTTGGCTTATGTTATGAAAGGTAGAGGTAGACATAAAAATACTTGGTTAGACAATAGTAGAAATTGTCTTTCTTTATTAGATTTAAATGAGAATTTGACTCTTAACCGGATACAATGGAGAAAATTGATTTATATAGCCGACCCCAGAATGGGACAAAGGCTTGATGTCATTGTATTTGTGATATATACTAATGCATGTGAATACAGTCTATCTTTAATTAAACAAAACATACAATATACGTCATTTGCTTAATATTATATCTTATTGTTAATTTGTTATGTGTGGAATCTGATTGTGTTGATCAATTGGGTTGTTTTGTTGTCTCGGACTTCAAGTTTGTTGTGCTTGCTAATAGATGTATTAGATTTGGCTTATGTTATTAAGGCTGTCTCACAACCCTTAAGAACGGAGCACCGCAATGGTCTAGATATAATATCACAGCAGATCAAGATGAAGGTTCAAGCTCCGCAGTGCTCCAGACTAGCGCCACAGTGCTGTGAGACGGCCTGGACGATTTTCTTTCTCGTTTTTCTTAAGGGTTGCGTCCCTTGGGATTATTTACTAGGCTTTCTCTTGTATGTTTGAGGTGTAGACATTAAGAATAGTGCTTGTGAGAAGAGAAGCAATGAGAGAGTGAGAGAGAAGAGAGATCTGTGCTTATTTCTCCTAATTTTTATAGTGGATTTTTTGGTGTGGTGTGGCTCCGTGGTTTTTTTCCTATTTTGGGTTTTCCCATGTTAAATCCTGGTGTCCTTTATGTTTCCATTCTTTTAGTACAATGCCCCGATTCTGTGTACACGAGCACCACAGCGATGTGTACCCGAGCACCCCGGCGTTGTGTTCCCGAGCGCTCCAACGCTGAACAACAAAGAACGGAGCACTGCAATGGTCTAGATACGATGTCACACTAGATCAAGACAGAGGTTCAAGCGCCGCAGTGTTGTGAGACTGCCTGGACAATTTTCTTTCTCGTTTTTCTTAAGGGTTGCGTCCCTTGGGATTATTTACTAGGCTTTCTCTTGTATGTTTGAGGTGTAGACATTAAGAATAGTGCTTGTGAGAAGAGAAGCAAGAAGAGAGTGAGAGAGAAGACAGATCTGTACTTATTTCTCCCAATTTTTATAGTTGATATCCTTTATTTTTCCATTCTTTAACTTTCTTGCTTGTTTTGTCATTGTTGTGCTTACTCTTCATCTCCAACACCTATAACATACTAACTTATGGATATTTATTATTTTATTTACACCGCTATCGTATATAAATATGTGCATATGATATATTATAAATCTTATATACATGTTGTATCATGTATCTGGTACTTTGTCCAGTGACTATTATATTATGATTTAGCCACCTGCTAAGTTATATAGTCACGCCACCTTATTTTCTTTTCCTAGGCAATTGTAGTAGGAATTCAGGTAGTGCGGCCACTACAATTATGCAGGCAAAAGTAATTTAGAACCTCCCTTTGTGTACTTTGCAATAATTATAATAGTATTCATTTGGACCTCTCTTAATATCATATTTATTTGGGTGTGTTTAATTTTGTAGATATGATTGAATTTAATAGCTTTGATATGCTTAGTAATGACTCTTCAGATATTTAGATGCACATGATGGTTTTATTGCCAAAAATCTATGAAAATTCCCCATTTATTCAATACAATGTCAAATTTTCTAAGGAAGATTATAGAGAGTGACAACCGCCCATTTTGCTAGCAGTGTAAGAAAAATAGCTCTTTCTATGCATAATTTGTCCTTATTTCTTTGATCCAACCACTACAAATCCCCTCAGCCATAGTCAACATAAACAAATCTCCATCTTCAAAGTTTCTAATCCATTGACCTCAAGTGCCAGACCGCTAGCAACCATCAACATTCAGTTGCAAATCTCCATATTCAGTCTTCATCAAACACTTATAGAAGGATGTTGATCACCTATTAACTCAGAACTAAACTCTAATAGCTATCATACCTGGTCACCAGAAAACGACACTTGTTAGATAAGTGCTTGAATCCAATTACCTCCCTCGATATAACCATGAAAACAATAGTTGGATCATTAAATAGGCTATGAGAAGTAGGTGTACTTAGGGATAAGATAACAACTCAGACAACAAAGTAGATGAGATTTAAGGAATTTTGATATGGTAGCTGATTTGTTCTGAATAAATTTGTGACAACTAGGAGATATTCAAACATAAATTTAGGAACAAGCATTGGCCAAATCATCCAAGGAATTTGAACTCCATACTTGTTGATCTATGTATGTGTTCAGCTACCAACTCAAGCAAGTACGACAAAACAGAAAGAAAATCCATGCCATGAAAATAGAAAGAAAATCCAGATACAGCATAATAGCAGCTTTTAGGCTCAAGGGCCTCATTTCACCAGCAAATTAAAGAAACCAAGCCACAAAAGATTAATCGCTATCATACCGAAAACTCATCAAATTATTCACTGGTGATAAATTTTATCAAATTAAAAAAAAAAAACATAAAGCTAATCAACATAACAAAAATACTTTCCAACACCACCAACAAAGCGAAAAAAGGTCATGAGGGTGACATAGCTAACCTGTTAGCGTGAAATTGGCCAATTCTGCAAGAAATTAGAAACATATAGCTCATAATCAGTAGAGTATACAACAATACAAAATACAACAGTAAATCATAATCGATCAAAGCCAAGGCGATATCTCATGAACTAGCAAGTACATCTCAATTCTGCACTATCTCAGATCCATGAAAAAGCAAGCGACAATGAGAAATCCCAAATCTGAAAAAGGGAAAACAGCGACGAATACCTTCCGGAAGAGCAAGGAGAGGCTGAGAGGAGCAGTCGCAGTTACATGGTGAGCAAGACGAGTAGGAGGAAGCTCGTCCCAGAGCTTCCACTAAGTGCCAGTACAGCGGCGGTCCTACGATGTAAGCCCCCAAGCCCAGCGCCATCACCGCAAACACCAATCGTACGGCGTTAGGGTTTACGCCCCCAAATGAAGACGGTCCCCCGGCCATTGAACTAAAGCTCGAGATTTAGCTCAGGATATTGTGCATACGAGAATCGATGATGGTCGAGAAAGATCAAATTGGGGAGGTAAGAGCTGAGCTTCGTCGGCGGCGTCGGCAGTAGATCTCGAGGTGATGGATTTATTTCTTGATTTCCTCTTTATCAGTGAAGTGGTGGCCTTTACGCGGTTGGGCCCACAGTTTAATCTACCAACCAAAAAGAAAACGATCAGATTCTAAGTCAAATTTTGATATCGCCATATCGATTCTATATTGATTCGAATTTAATCTAAACAAAATGTGTTCATATTAGCTCTTTTAACTATTCGGTTAGGTTGAGATCTTCTATTTCAATTCATTTATTAAATGGGTCGGATTCAGATTGATTTATTAATCTAATTTGACCTCGAAAAAATTGACGTTCAATATTTTGATCACATGCTCGTTAAAATTGTGTGGAGGAAAAAAAAAAGGTTCAATATTTTTTTTCTTTTTTTTTTTAATTTATTGGTATAATTTTTTATTTTTGAATTTTAATGAATTAATCTGAAATATATATGATTAATAAGTTAATAAAAATATTTTTTTAGTTATAACATTTTGTCATGTCAATTTAGAGTTACTAGTGGATTGGGTTTAGGTTCAATTTTTTATTTGTTTATTAAACAAGTTGAGTTTAGACTAATTGTATTCAGATCAGGTCAATTTGAGGTCGGATTCGAACCCAATCTATTGAATCACTTTTACACTCCTAAAAATGATCGCATTTCAATGGTATGTTTTCCATACAAATAAAAAAAATCTAATTAAAAAAAAACTTACTCATTTATTTATGCTATTATTTTCAATAAAATAGGTAAAAATTTAACACAATGAGCATACTTCTCCAATTTTAGGTATTACGAGCATATAAAGTTAAATTTTCCTAAATAAATGAATAAATCTTGAGCAAATGAACTTAATTTCAATTTTAGTGTTAATTTGTTTTTTATATGCCATATGTAGACAACTATTAAGTGAAACATTTGAACCTTAAAATCGCCCATACACCAATTTCAATAAACTTATCATCAATATGATGTGATTTGACAAGGCAATTGAATGAAATCAAAATCACACAATTTATATTACATTTAGGTCTTTAACTAGTTGAATTGTGACAAATGAGATTGATTTGAACTCATAAGTTCAAATTTGACCTTATTTGGGGGGGCTGGCTGACCATCTTTAGGTCTGTTGGGTGAAGGGTCGATCTCGACAGCGGCGACGTTAGGCTGAGGCGATGGAGGCGAGCTGAAAGAAGGGAAACAACGAATAATATCATCAGAAAAAAGCATACACTAAGGTACATCCTCTTGCAAATGTCTAATGAGAAAATCAACGAAAAAAACTTATAGTGGATTATCCTCAAAACATCGGTGTTCCACTGGAGAATGAGGCTGTGAGCGTAGGCAAACTCGGTGGAAGTCCGTTGGGTGATGGTCGGTCTCGGCAGCAGCGAGGTTCGACTGGGGCGACGGAGGTGAGCTGAGCGAACAAAACGGTGCGGAATGAAATTATAAGGTAGACGGGCTCGGGAGAGTAATAGGGTTTCGATCAACGTTTTTTTCGTCAGAAAAACCATCGGTGATGTTTTCGTTGTCTTTTTCAATGGTAACTATTTGTTGTTTTTTAAGTCATTGGCATAATATCCGTCAGTTCCTACGCAATAAATTAATTACTGGCGGAAAATACATTTCATTATACTACGTGTTTACAGATTACGACGCCTATAACGGCGAATACTGCATCTGAAACTTACCGACATATATTACATCGATAAGTCTGCCGTAATTTTACCGTCGCATAAAACATCGGTAAAAATATCATAAGTTCCGGCGTATATATTTTCGCCGGAAGTTCCGACGGTAATCAATAGTTTTCTTGTAGTGTAGCCACTCTACAAACAAAATAATATATAAACCTAAGAACTAAAATAAAAGCTACACTAGTATCACTACATGCATACATAACCTCAAGCTGCAAGCTCCTTACTTGAAATCATTTAAACCACATAATGAGCGAATAGCCTAGTAAGTGACAAAAATCTTACAACTGAAATCAATTTAAGAAAAAATGAAATAATTTGCTATAAATCACATAAAAAAATCTATGCATCAATATCAATGTCAGTTATCCGTACTAATTTCTTAGTTTATAACACATCATATCGTAGTCCACATTATCAATAATTGTGATCCATATCACTAATAAGGATAGTGAAATTTTTTGGGTAGTGGTATAAATCCTTAAGAAATTAACACATATCGATACAAATGGAGATTTTGGGGCTATCAGATATTTGTTTTGCAAACCGATTTCACAAAAAAAATTTAAATAAAATGTACTATATATATATTCTAATTATTTTTTAAGCCCTACAAAAATTTGTATGAATTTTTATAGTGAAATTGATTAAATTATATAATTATATTAATAAATATCTCAAAGCATTACTTAACTTTATTAAACCCCATTTCCCTTTTATTTATTTTGGCTAAGAGAGCTTAGGTGAGAGAAATTTGAGAGAGAAAGAGAAGAGAGAGAAAATATAAGTTAGGATTTGGAGGCCATATAGCGATTTTTGTTCATCAATGCAGTTGGGAGATTTGATTGTCTCACCGTAAGAAACCTTTACCATATTTCTAATTTCAAATATTTCATATTTTTTTGTTATTTTTCATCAATTTTTTTGTATTAAAAAATTAGGATAATTTTGTATTAATAAGATTTTCACCGTGTAACTTTTTATATGCTATAAATATTTATATTATGAACATTTTGAGTATTTATTTGATATTTTTTGTGGGGTGATTTTGAAAAAAACAATGATTTTTATCTATTCAAAATTTTATTTTGACATCTAAAAATGGTATTTAGTCCAATAAAGCTTCAAAATATTATTTTATACAATCTCAAGTAATTTGATTAATTTTTTAAAATATGATTTTTTTGCTCAGTAAGGTTTTTTATTACTTATCGTTATGATATTTTGATACTTTCTAAATTAAGCTTAATTATGTTTAATTTGTTGTAATGTATTGGAAATAAATGTGGATATATTATTGAAATTATTGTTATAATACTATGATAATAATATGTGTATAAAAAATAAGTAAAATTGATTAACTCATTAATTGGAGACTGATTGGCCTGTAAATAATGGAGGGCCGATGAACTTTCTTTTAAATACTATGACTTGATGTTATCATTTACTAATTAACGTGATACTAATTGGGAGTTGTAAGGAGATGATTACTATGCCGATGAGCAAAGAGTAACGACTTTGTTTAGTAAGCATACAGTTTACTAAAACGATACTAAAAAAAATACTATAATAACCATAATTCTTACTTGTTTTGTGTAACATACTAAACATATAATATACTAATTTTATATTGATATAAAATAACTTGATAGTAAGCATACACTCCTATAACATTTTACTGCATTGATATGATTTTGGCAATATTTATCGATGATTTAGTTTTATTGCTTTATAGATTTGAATCATGTACTATTTTATTGGCTTTAATACCATACTATTTTATCGTTTATAGATTCTACTACTACATCATATGAGTTTTATTATTTCTGCATTGATTGAACGATCATATGAATGAAACTACTATGATTTGATATCTAACATTCATATTACTCTTTTACCATACTTTGAATTTAGTTGTAGCTTTTGGTGACCTACTGAGTTTTTTAGTTCGTTATATGTTATTAAATATTTTTAGTTCATGGTAGAAAATCATGTGTGTGACATTAATCATATAAGGATTTCTCATATTTTGTTTCATTCTATTTGAGTAATTCTTTTGTACTCAGGAAAAAAATATTTATAATATTGTGTAGATCTTGAGTTGCGTATATAATTTTTGGGAAATGAATACATGTGTATACAACTATACATTGATGTTTAATCGATAGTTTGATTTATGTTGTTATTTAGAATTATAAAAGAAAATAGATAGCTCTAGTTGTATAAATTAAAAGTTAAAAGAATAATTCATCCAAATTAAATGATGGGATATTACGAGTGTTCTCAATCCTAGCGCCATAACGTTCACATGTACAACATCGAAGCACTCTAGTTCAACCAACAATTCAATAATTCATATTTTTCATTTAAAATGCTTATCATATCTTTGGATTGTTACATAAACATTCACATATGCCGCCACACGAACATCGTTGACCACTAATCATCTACTACAACAATCAAGTCATCCAATGGTAGGATTGTCCAAACAAATAATTGATTATATGCAGGTGTAATATATTGCATTTATTATTGTAGAAACTTACATCGGAGGAAGAAGCACTTCCTCTTGAATTTCTTGAGAAGGGAGGTAAGAGGAGAGGGAGAGAGATAAACTCAAAATCTTTATTGCTTGATCATACTCTATTATAACCTAAAGCCCCTATTTTATAGACTCAAAATAATAAAACCAAAAGCTACACTAATGGCTATATAAGCCATACAATAAATAACATAAATCTCGGGTCAATATCTAACAATTCTCCACTTTGTTACCAGATTTATACCAAAAAGATAACTACTGTTCACAAAGAACAGTCCCGCCGGTCTTTCCCGCCAATAGCATCGATTAGACGGTTAGCACCAAGCACCCTGGGCATCTTTGCCTTATCTGCCCTGTGCATCCATCTGCACCCTGCGCCTCCACCTTCGCACCCACGCCTTGCACTCATGTGGTCCGACTCCGATCACATCATGCATGCGCTTATCCATCCACACACTGAGCCTAGTGCTATGCTTGCACCCTGCTCGTCATAATCCCACACCCTACAATGCTGCATCCATCCAGTGCCCATGCGTTTCCTCCACACGTGCCCTGCACTCCTATGCGACCTCCTCATGCACTGCATGACCTTGCACCTCCAAGTGCCCAACACTCCCGACACTTCTCCTCAAGAACAGACCGACTCCACTTCTATCTCTCGGACTCCACCTGAAGTCCAAAAAACTCCACCTCAAATCTTGACCGATCTTTAATCAAGAAATGAAAGATCATGCTTCCAATCGGTTTCGGCAAACACAACTCGCGAGCCCGTCCATCTACTCGCAATGTCCTGTCGTTCTCCCGTCAATCTTTCTTCCGAGCTGGCCAAGACGGACCTTCTCCTCCGCCGAGTAGATCCGACCTGAGCCAACCGAGCGGCCCAAGTCTGGCTCTCTTGTTTGTCTGCTCCGGTCAAACCAAGCTGCTCTGCCCTTTCTTGAATCATTTTCTTAGATAAGAAAACCACCTATCCTCCACCTCTAAATCTCCATCACCGTGGCTCTGATACCACTTGTAGAAACTTACATCAGAGGAAGAATCACTTCCTCTTGAATTTCTTGAGGAGGAGGGAGGAAAGAGGAGATGGAGAGATATAAACTCAAAATCTTTATTGCTTGATCATACTCTATTACAACCTAAAGCCCCTATTTTATAGGCTCAAAATAGTAACACCAAAAGCTACACTAATGATTATACAAGCCATACAAGAAACAACATAAATCTAGGATCAATATCTAACAGTTATTAATGCAAAATAGGAATATTTAATAATAATTATGAATAAGGACTAAATAATCCTCCTTAAAATCTATAAATAAACTTTAATTATCTTTATTTTGTTTATAAATAATAAATATTTATAAGTTCAAATTAAAACTTGTGAATCTGTTTGAATTTAACTTGAGAATACCGCAATGTAAACTTTTCAAACAGAATACTAATATCAAAGTAAATCCAATGAATTTCGAGTCTTATTTTTTCCGTATGGCTTTCTCTATCCTGATCGAAACAACACTTGTATGAAACAATAAATATTTGCCACTATTTGTTTTAAAATTAATTACCTCCGAGGACAATGGGCTAAGATTGGGTGCCCAAGGAAAGTAGAGACCTAATATGAGGCGACAGTTATTTTGTAGAGAACAGTGCCATAATTATTTTGATTTGCATCAGGATGGGCTTAAATGCCCTTAGATTTGTTCTAAGATTAGTGCAATTTATTATAACATATATAAGCCCTAATTTAACTGCAAATGCAAAGACATTCAAGTCAATTGTGATGTAAATTACATTATGATATCCTTTATCCTTATGCAATTTTTTAATCAATAACCAAAGGTCCATAATAATAATTGATCAAATTTGGCTTCCATGTATATAAGCTCGAACAAAGTTGAATTATGATTGAATGATTATGATCTTTACATATATCAACTACTAACATTCAAACATTTTATCTTGCGCTAACCACCTAACTATATATGCGATATGAGTTACCAATTTGACCATTATTCACTCTCCATCGTTACTTAGGCGAGTTCGAGTTAGTGTCAAATTGATCACTTTCACCGCCAATAAATTGGGTGTGAATTTGGATTATTGAATCGGGTTGGAGTTCAACTCCATAAAAAGCCCAAATGAATTAGAATCAACATTAAACAAATCAACCAATTTATTAAATGGGTTAAAAATCTTAATATTAACTTGAAAAGTTCCCAATCAAATCCAACACAATAGAAAAAAAATTAAATCACATCTTGATATCTTGTTAGCATTGACAAACTTAAAATGAATGCAAATATCTTTTTAGAGTCTTAATAATCCAAAAAACAATTTTGAAAAAATATAATTCAATGACATTTCATAATAAAAATTAATATAATTAAATTATTATTGTTGTTAATTTTCAACTGAATTCAAATTAGCACACCTACTATTTTTTTTTTTAAATTGATTTGAAATTGACCCGAATTAAATTAGAATATATATAATATGTAGATCCTTATATATAAACCAAGTGGCTTAGTCTGGACCCTGATCGCATGGCGCTCGTGGTGATCTGTGGGCAGCCTTGCAGTGGTAAGTCGACGATTGCACGCTGCCTAGTTTGCGCTCTCGAGGCCGTGGAGCCGAAACCCAAAGTACGAATCATTGATGAATCCTCCTTCCATCTCGGCCGCAATCAGAGCTATGCAGGTAAATCCTCTCTCCCTCCGTTGCTCCGAGTTTTTTGAAGTAGCTATGATCATAAACCCTAGAAGGGGCTGTTTGCTTGCAAGATATAGCGGCTTTGCCAACCATTTTTTTGAGCAACATAAGTATCAATACTCTTCAAATCCCAAACCCGTTTTTCTCCTGTTCTAAACTTAATCCCGGAATTAGTAAATACTGGGAAGTAAGATTTTCACCATTTCTCTTTCATTTAAAAACTAAAATTTGAAATGTTGGCATCCAGTTTACTAGGATTTAACCACATTTAACATGCGCAACAGTTCTTAGAATTTAAAGGCTACATGATTTTACAATAATTGGATTTACAAGATAGAGAAGATGGAGGGTTACACTGAAAAGATGTTTAACCCAACAAAATGACTTTTTGCCCCTATATAATTTAGGTATGTGAGGGAAAACTGTTATTTGATGACCATGGTTGTGGTGAATTGCTGGAAAAGTGCTATCATTGAATGCCTTTCACGGGTGATTATTTTGGTTCTACATTGATGTGATTAGTTAAAACGTTTTGTAGCAAACATGATTATGGACTTTTAATGTAATAAAGCAAACTTGGAAGTACTTTGCATGGAATTATAATACCTATTTCAGTTCTGTTTATTTATTTATTTTTATTTTAAATCATGGATAGAAGCGGAATGGAATTCGCATTTTACCACCATTTTCTGTAGTGGTAATATGTTGAAGTTCAATAGGTTAATGTGCATGGAAGATGATTATGAAAAACCAAGTGTGAAATATATAGTAGATATTCATTAGGGGCGTAGATTTATGAAATTGTTTTCATCTAACTTTTTTTCCTGAAGTTTGAATTCATAATTAGGTAGTTGAGTTTTTTTTTTTATGAAATATAGTATGGAAATGATTTTTGTGCGCTATTTGCAGTAGAAACATCAGCTCTAAGAGAATATTTAAATGAAACTATCATTAATTCAATAAAAAAAAAAAGATAAATGAAAGTCCAGGGATCCAACTTTGCAATTAAAGAAATCAAGCAAGCTCTACTTATTTCAAGCATACTTAGATATTTTGACTTGTTTAATTTTTTGTGTTTGATATGATTTATATTTTGATGATGCCAAAAGTCATGTAGTAACCTTTTTGAAGAGTTCATTGATTTAACCAGTACAATGACTAAAACTTAGAGGAGCCCATGAATTTGTTTGATTATGAAATATTAACACTATGAGAGGCACGAGGCCACAAGCAACTAGTTCTTTTGGTTTCAATATGTATTTAACTAAACTGGAATTGAACTTGGCTCAAATCTATTCAATTCAATCTCAAACCATGCCAAGTATGGTTGTAAAATGACCTGATACAATCTCTATTCAAGCCAATCACGACTCATTAACTTCAATTTGAGCCAAAAATTGATTCAATTTTGATTGATATTCAAACTCTAAAGACAATTGCCTGGTCAAACATTTATACATTGGTGGAATTATATATATAAATACTTAAACACACACATACTCACTAAAAAAAATCAAAATCTAAATACATACAATGTGTATACGCATTTTATTTGTGCATGCATAATTGCATATACATTTGGATTCAAACTCAACATAGGTTGATCAGATACATGCTCGATTTACAGCAAATTTAATTTGGGCAATAATGATGAAAACATTTACATCAAGGAAAGATGCAAATGTTACTTAAAAAATATTAAATGAGACATTTGAAAAAGAAATTATTTGGAACAATATAGTGATATATATTAGATATATTATAGATTGATAAAAAAAAAAGTGAAGTGGTGTTAGCTTTGAGAAAATATATAAATGTAGGGTTTTGTGTCTGATACTTACTAAGATTTGGAGAGATATTGGAGATATTGTAGTGATTTGATGAACAATTATTTTCAATAGAACTTTGAAGATTAATCTAAGGCATAATGATCGGAGAAGAAGCATTTTGCTACTAATATTTAAGGGCAAAAGTAATGCTCAGGATTAAACTAACTATATAGGAATCAAACTTATGTAATGAAGCTACGTGAGAGTGTAATGGAATATAGGATTGGAAAATTTACATTAAGAACTAATTTGATTTCATGCCATGAAGATCTACTATGTAAGCGATTTTTGTGTTAAAATAGCTATGGGAGAATCACATAAAACAAGTGATTTTTATATTAATTTTATTCATCTTGAGAAGAAATGATTGAATATTTTTGTAATTAATTTGATATGCTTTATGATTGAAATGTGTGCCAAACATATATATATGTATGTATAATCACTAACTATTGTTTATAATAATTGTAAACGGATCCCAAAGTTTTTAATTATCATAACTTCACACTTTACATCAAGGATCAATATTCAGTCTATATCTTTTAATTTTGGTCATGGAGATGCTTATAAATGATATTTAAAGCGATGTTCCGTGGTGCGTGCTTTTTAACACACACAATTAGAAACTTTATGGATTCTTTGGATTAAAAAAATAGTACATTCATGAGAGGGGGTCATGTGAATGAGGGTAGGTAGGGGGTAAAGAGAAAAGGGAGATGTAGGGTAGGGAGAAATAGATGAAGAGGGTTAGATGAGAGAAAAAAGGGGGAGAATCGAGTAAAAGAAGGGGAATTAATTAATTAGATTTTTTAGGAGGACTTTGTGGAAGTGATTATATTTCAAAATTTGAACAAATATTATAGATGCAATCATGCAATTAAATAATTTAATTTCAAGAGAGCATTTGGAGGAAAAGAGATTGGGGAGGAACCTATTATGACAGTTGCATAGTAAGGAGGGATGCTGACTTTGAGAACAAACTAGAAAATAGGTTGGGGGCAGTGTAATGTTTGATAAATGAATTTTTTGACATGTCTGGGTTTGATTTATCATTCAGAAATTCATTTAGGGGTAACTATGAGCTATGGAAGGTCTTGAGAAGGGTATGTATCCATTATGGCGATCGATATAGCTTAAGAACGAGAAACTATAAGTCCATAAGCATATTGCTGAGAACTTTGTTGATTCTACGAAATTGATCTTCATCACAACACTGATCATCTTCTTGTGTCAATGATGATTCTTGGTATGAAGTTGCGTTCTTGTGCAAAGTAACGTAGAGAGATACATCAAAAGATTTTTGGAGGCCTTGAAAAAGTGGAGGCAATTAGGTGCATAACTTAATAGGGAGAAGCATGCTTAGCATCAATTTCATTCCAATAATTGTAACATGCAATTATGTGACTCTTGAACTTTTATTTATAATAGAAGATCCTATGTGATTAGACTAAATCATTACTTAAGTTAACATATGATATTATTGCCCATGATAATTAAAAGAAGACAAATTGAGATTAACCATAAACTATGAAAAGGAACATTGTGATGATGACATTAAAACTACCATGATAATCCCTTCTTGTCCTGCGTCATTTAGCCTTAGAATGCAAATTCTGATTAGGATATAGGAAAAAGGTTTTTTTTTGGCAATGTCATGACCTCCTTCCTATTGGTGGTGGTTATAGCCTTAACCTGTTGGGGTCAGACTATTTCCTTTTTTTTTTCATGAATTCATATTTAGGCTTACATGGAGTCTAGTGTACCTGTCCTAATTGCCTTTTTGTTTTCCACTTGCTTTTTTTTATTATTTGGTTTTTAATGTATTTTTATACATGTATCTTTGTGAAGATATGACGGCTGAGAAGAATTTGAGGGGGATTCTTAGATCTGAAGTTGATAGGTCCTTGTCAAAAGACAATATTATCATCGTGGACTCCTTGAATAACATTAAGGTGGGCGTTGACCTTGCATTTGTTGATTCAGTTTTCATATGATAAAACTATTTTCAAATAAAGCTATGCTTTAATGAATGGTCTTTTGATTATCTTAATAGTTCTTAGTATATTGACATTTGAAGCATAGTTACTCTTAAGCCTATTTGGGATTTATTTTTTTTATGCCTCTTTTTCAGTAGTATTATTTTTGGAATGCACACTGCAGAACTATTGAAATACTAAAGCATTCTTTGTTGTGATAAGAATGAACTTTTACAAAATAAAATGAAATAATTAAAAAAGCAGGGGATCGTTCTTATGGGTCTCCACTATTAATATTTTACTTGTTCTATATACCCCTAATTTATGATCTACTTGCGTCGTACGTTGATTGCCAGGATGCCAAAAAAAAATGATGCCAGGATGTTTCTTTATTTATATGAGCTGTAAGAGGTAATTTATTACTTTTTTAAAAATGTATGCTTAATTTAAACCACTACAGTAGGCGTATACAATGTAATTTTAGGCCCAAGATTTTACAGAGTTAAAAAGAAAAAAAAAAGTTTAAAATATATTATATTTTACTTTCAGAAAAGGCAAATTGAACCGTTTTTTTATTATAAATTAAATATAAATTTAATAAGGCAAATTGAACCGTTGATCTGTCAAATAATGAGTTTTTGCATTGATCATAATTAGTTAATTACACCGATGAGCATAGGGTTTGAAAAAATTCATACCAGTGAAAAACTTCCAAGGTTTTGATTATAAAATTGTTTATTCTTTAGTTTTTTTTCATAGAATAAATTTACATTTTGATTTATTTAATATTGTTTATTTATTCAACCATTCAAACGTAAAGAGTCTCTGGAGGAGTTTTGTTTACTTACCGTTCCAATTTAACACATTTTAAAACTATTAATTTTACATTGATCTTCTTTTTTCTAATTACACATTTTAAATTTTGTTTTAATTAGAAACACATCTCAAGTTATGCTAGTAATACAATGTTAAAATGATAAGTCATTTTCTCCTTCATATTCAATTTAACTTGTGTTATTTTAAAGCCATTATAAACTGTAGGCTGTTTTCTTTCCTCACCTCCTTTCCCTTTGGAAATTGAAAACCTTTGGAACTGCCGTCAAGTCTCAAGCTGTCTTTTTTTTTTTTGTTTCCCATAATTCTGTTGGTTCTGTTGCCATTTTATCCATGAAAACTGAAAGACCACAAATGAAAGTTAACTTGTATCCTCTTTTTGTTATTCCTTTCACTGGAAATTTGAATGTTTAGAAAGAATCAAATAACACATTACCATTTAACTGCTCTCTCTCGCTACCACTTGCTACCTTTTTTTTTAATCAATTTTTTCTGTTATCAAGAACCATTGAAACTTACCAGAAATTGAAACACTTTGCATCTCCTCCGACTTTCTTCTCGATTCTAATAGTGTAAATTGTTGGTAGGTCAAATGTTCTGTTTCTATCTAGGTATTATATTTAAGGAACACCACTAATCTATGCTGCTTGGTGATACCACTTGATAAGTTTATCTATAAGCCTTTTGTTAGATGATCTTGAGCGTTAAAATATTATATTTTGGGATTCCTATGATCAATCTTTATTTTAAAACGTTTTATGTTTCCTATGTAATTTATGACGGTTAACCATCATTTGTGCCAGACATCGAGTTTCATAATTTAATTCACTAAAAATGTCTTTTTCCTATGACCTCTCGTAAGATTACATTTTTTTATGAACTGTGGGGAATACAAATTTTAATTTGCTCTAATAACTAAATTGTAATGTTTAATGTGTTCCTTTGGTAAGATTGTATCTTTGACGATATGTTTTAAGTGTGGGAGAAATTGAGTAATGTGCTAACAACAAGATGAGTTTATTGTAGTGGATTATTTAATTTTCCTGCTTTACGTTGTTCCTTCTCACCCCTTTCTTTCCCTTTGCTTTTTCACCTTCATTTTGTTGTTGCTCATCCATTTTTACCACTCACGTTATCATCCTTCCGTTAGTTTTTGTTTTTTGATTTAGAATGTATCATTTTTTCTTAGACTGTATGACCTTTTTATAGTTGACCACGATGAAAACCAACCGTAATAGTTGGAATGTTCCGTCATTTCAATTTATATCTAAAATATTCTGCTGTATTTGGTACTGTATAATTATTTTTCTTTTCACTTGCAATATAAAGTTTTTTCTTTGTAGGTTCTCTAATCTTGTTATAGGTGAACAAGCATGGAAGATAGAGCTTAGGAGTTAGGATTGAAAAGTTAAAACTAATATATTGGTACTTTGTTTTTCGAGAGAGAGAAAAACTTAGTGTATATTTCGGAGCTGACTCTCGATCCCATGACCTCTTGATTGCGCTTGTCTTCTATATGTGAAATTAAATTCCCCTTCATCCTTGGCTTCTTTGCATGATTTTAGTGCACAGATGTGGGGCCTTGCTTAGTGTATTTTTTGCGTTTGATTACTATGCCTGCCTTTAAACTTTCATAATCTTTGGGATCTGTACTATAGGAGATGTGGCATTTTGGCAGTTGGAATATCCGAAACAGTCAGATTTTAGACCTACGAAATTATATGCATATAATTATTATGCAAGCCGTGTAATTAGTAGAGTTTGACTTAATATAAATTTTGATTTCTTCAAACTAGTGTTTTTATTTGATGCTGAGTTCTTTGAGTGTGGTGTTAGTGCGATTACCACTTTATAAGAGAAGTAATTTCTTTGAACTATCCTAATGCTCAAATTTATAAGTTTGGTGATCTCTTATCCCATTTCTTCATTTACATAATTCATAATTGGCTTCATTGTGTGATTTATTTTAGTCAAAACAATTACATTTGGATTTCTTGTCAATGTGGCTAAAAAATAAAGGGAGTTTTACATACATACCACTTAATACTATTCTATTTACATATTTAACACTTAAAACTTTAATATTACATAAATACCACCCATAGTTCATTTTAATACCAAATATGAGTGGTAGAAATGAAATATATTAGTGGTAGGAAAGAAATATAAGTGGTATATTTGATATTAAAATAATATAGGGTGGTATGCATGTAATATTAAAGTTTTAGGTGTTAGATATGTAAATAGGATGTTATAAAGTGGTATGTATGTAAATTTTCCAAAAATAAATCATGACTCTAAATGAATATTTTAAAATTAATTTCCAATATAAATTAATATGTAATACTTATTTAAAAAATGAAATAAATTCTATTTAAAAAAAGAAGTTAAAAAATCACTTGCTTGAAAGAGAAAGAGAACAAAAAGATGTAAGGAACACAGAGAGGCCATCCGACCACCTAAGACTTCAATGTTACAAGATATCACCTACGGAAGGATGGGGGTTTGTCTGGTCACCCAAAATATATTTTATAAAAGTTTATTTTTAATAAAAAGCTTCTCTACTACATTTTTCCCTCCCCTTTTCCTCCTGTTTTGTCTTCCCCAGTTTGGTTCTTTCCTGTACAAATGACAACCCGAGCCCCTCCTTTCCAAAACAATTCCCCTATCCGTCTTTGTTCATTATCTTGCTCGCTCACTCATAAACACCTTGACAATGCATAAAACATGAGGGGGGAGACTTTGAGTTCCTTGCATATACACACATTTCTTGCTGCTATAGCCTCCCAAATCATCTAAGTGCTTCTATCAACACAAATACTTGGTTTTCTTGATGCCATTTAAGACACATTTTTGGCTGGGTCATCCCATACACTGTAAATACATGCCTTTTTTGGCGTGACAAGAATGCTTGATATATTTTAAGTGCTCATCTCCTTATTGTAACATTGAAGCATTGGCTAATTCACCCGAAAAATTGACAAAAAGTGGGAATGTTTTGACATGAAAAATGGTGAGGCTTGGATGGTTGGAAGGGATTTCTAAAAGGTGTCATCCTTTTCACTCTTAAATGATGTGAGTGAGGCCCCTTCGTTCTGATGAAAATTCTCAGAGAGACAAAGAAGAAAGAGTGATGCCTAACAGGGGACCTCATAGCTAAGTAAACTAGCTGCGTTTTATATCTTTAAGTCGGTGATGGTAGCTCCTGCTAATAATAACCTCAATGCCATGTAGGTGGATTAAGCACAATAGCCCTAACTATAATGCTTAAATCATTCTTTTTGGGTGGAGCTTGCTAAAGCTCTAAGACAAGCTAAGAAGTAAACAATCTCCTCAAGCATTTGTACACTCCTATAAGTTGTGAACAGAGTATTTACCATAAGAAAGTCCAAAAGCAAGCATTGATGAAACTTTGCATAGCCAAAAATAGATAACCTACCTTCGAGCTTATAATTTAGGGAGCCGATCTCATAGTTCCTTTTCTATAGTATTTTTATTAAGTGTAGTAATCCACTGATTAAGCCTGCATAATGAATATTGGGTTATGACATCAGTTGGTTAGAAAATTTATAAACCATATAGTAAAGCCTGATTGCTGAGCATCAAAGCATGACATCTAGGAACTGAACCTAGAAATTTATCATCAGAGTGTCATTTAAAAAAAGAAGAATAAAGTGAACACATGCATTCAAATATCTAATGATCTTGATATGTTGATCTAAAAAGCCAAAATAGAGAAGTGTTGTGCTAGTTAAGCCAAATAAGCATTATAATGCCACCTAAATTTTTGCTAAGGATTTGTTGTAGGCAATTATCTTAAACTAAAGTACATGATTTGGAAAGTCCAAAAGAAATCGGTTTTAAGAAAATTATAATAATCTTCATAGTCAAGTATTCACATAGTCGTTAATTCTAAAAACTTGTAAATGGTTTAGCGGACACATCTTCAGTCCCAAGGTGTCAATCTTCTTTGGGGGCAGTGGGGCACTAAGACTAAGAACAACCAATTTAATTCCCACTTCATGGTAAGAAAGAAGCAAGTGATAAAGAAAATAGAGGAGCTACCAATACCTTTATATCAACTCATGTTCAAACCCAAATATAATGTTGAGTTTAGGCCAAGGGTTAAAAGACAAGATAGA